GTTATATATATATATATATATATATATAAATTCGTGAAAAAATTATATCGACAGAAGAAGTATCTTGAATTAAAATAATTAATATCAGCTTTACATAAGCGTGTATATGGATTCTTTTTCACAGGATAAGCTTGCCTGAAATCACTATCAACTCATGCCGTGAATATAAACATACACTGTGTGAGGTTACTTTAGTAAATAACCGACACGACTTTTGTCTTTATTAAACTTCTTTTACTCGTGTCTTTGTAGCTTTATTTAGAAACATTTTTTTACGGTCTCTGGTGAATGTTTAGGTAAATGTAAGATTTAGTTAAACCTTTGGGTGATCTTGGAAGGGAACTCGACAAATTTATTAACGCATAAACAACGGGATTGGCTGGACTAATTGGTCACGTGGTCATGAAACGGAATGAGCCACGTACGTTTGGATCACATTCAAGACATTATATCTTACTCAAGTACTGTTGGACTAACGCGCCACAGTCTACGGTATTTCACCATGCCAGAAAGAAACAAACTCCAAGACATTCTAGGGCTTCGAGAGTTTTCCAACAAAAAGTTCCTGGGAAAGGCGTTATTGGCAGAATTCATCGGCACAGCCGTACTGGTCTTAATCGGTTGTGGCTCCTGCACTAAGGGTTGGGACACGGGCTATTCTCCGACCATTGTCCAAATAGCTCTAGCCTTCGGTGTGACCGTAGGAACAGCAGTTCAATTTATTGGTCACATCAGTGGAGGTCATATTAACCCGGCGGTTACCGTGGCGTTTTTGATAACCAGAAAAATATCCATCTTTCGTGCAGTTCTTTACATTGTTGTCCAGTGCTTGGGGGCGATTGTCGGTGCTTCTGTACTAAAAGGAGTCACCCCTATTAAACAGCAAGGAGACTTAGGAGCGACGCTTGTTCACAATAACCTGAGCGCCGTCCAAGGTTTCATCGTTGAACTTTTCATCACTTTTGTATTGGTTTTCACTGTATTCTCCTGTTGTGATACAAACAGACAAGACATCAAGGGATCTACTCCTTTAGCCATCGGCCTCTCGGTGGCAACTTGCCACATGTTTGCTGTAAGTTGTCTTTCCCTCATTACTTGCTCTAAAGCTATCTCTTGTTAGCGCCACGTTTCATGTGACAAAAAATGTTTAAAATCCGTCAAAATCGCAGTCTCCAGTCAGATACGTTTCACATTACTACTGTACAATATGAATAAATATCCTCGTTGTCAGGTGTATTACTTTATGAATCTGTTTTAGGTGGTATTAAGCATTTTTAATTTAGCTGAGGTCTACAACTCTAGAATAGTGGTGGAATATTTTGTTTGTTTCGGATCTTTATACAACTGAAAGATTAGAGGGAAGGCAGCTATTTAATAGCACCTACCGCCAACTGTTGGGCTATTTTAATCAAATAGTGATTTCACTGTCACTCTTATAATGCACCCACGGTCTCAAATTGTGAAGCGTAATTATGAGACAACGAAACGCGAATTATGAACCCTTGGACTTATAATCGGGCACACTAACTGTAGGCCACACCTGACCCGGTAGAATATTTCAATGTGTACCCCCTGTATGTGTTAACATGGCGCAGAACTGTATGACCACATGTTTGAAACCTACAACAGGATTCGATGACGAGGAACCCACTTTGAGACTAATAATGGTTGGAGACGGCTTGAATGGGTAATGAAGAAAAACTTTAATATAAGTTTAACATAACAGCAAATGTACAACGTTTCGAAAAGGTTTTGTTGTCATCGGGTACGTTGTACATTTGCTGTTATGTTAAACTTATATTAAAGTTTTTCTTCATTACCCATTCAAGCCGTCTCCAACCATTACTACAACAGGATTGTTACTTTCAATACACTAAATAGCCTAAATCACGAACACAGAGCCGCAGTGGTGGAACGATATACGTAATGTTATCGTTTATTTGTTATTAAACGCAAAGCTACACAGTGAGCTATCCGTATTGTGCTCCTCGCAGGGATCGAACCTACATTTTTAGCGTTTTAAGCTCCGAAGCTTACTTCTGAGCCACCTGGAAACATTTAGTCTTTATGAACTTATTATTTTTGTAGATCGCTTACTTATGAATGTTTCAGCTAGGACTACTTTAGTCTCAAAAGTAGATTAAAACACACCAGTCTTGTAAGTTTTTTTTTTTTGTATTGCAGGATTTTTGCAATCCGTTCACTTTATGTACAAAATATTAAATCGAAACTGACTGCTAGAAACCGGGTTTTGATACCCGTAGTAGGCAGAGCACAGATAGTCCTTTGTGAAGTTTTGTGCTTAATTACAAACAAACAGCTTCGTCAGGAGGTATTGACATCCTTCTAGTTCGCTAATCCACAAGAAACTAATTTGGAAAACCATCACCAGTTAATCGAACACTAATACATGTGCCTAAAAGGTTCATTGTTGCTTATTTTTACGGTGTGAACGCTCTTTACAAGCTGGCAAAGCGTTATACTTGTCATAATTAGGTTCAGACATTCTTGAATTTAAATTGTTCAAAAACGCAACCAATAAAAGTAAATACACAAATATGTATTCTCTAAACTCTGTTTAACAAGTGAATAAAATAACGACCTGTATCTCCAAAATGTATCTTTACTGGCTCAATATTTCGTTATTGCACCTTCTTCAGGAGTTATTGATATTCTACAAATTCACTAATCCAGTTGGTTCCAGTTTAGTTTAGTGAACTTGCAGGATATATGTCAGATTTTAAAACATAATATTATATATATGTATGGGTTCTGTTTTTTTTTGTTTTTTTGCCTATTGTCGAAATAAATGGCTTTTACTTATATTTCTTTATAGTATAAATATATACTATGTTGTTGTTGGGCTTAGGATTCTTCTACAGTAGGTGTCTCTGACTTATTAGCGATAAATTCAACGATGAATAAACAGCGAACACTTTACTTGTTGTCAAATAATATATATATTTGGAATAAGTTAAGCGTATGTACAATAAAGTGTTAACACTATGGAGAATATCAGCATATCGTAAACACTATTTATATATAGTTCTCTTCTTCTTGTCAAAAGTCTACTTAGGCCTGTTCAATTACTTTAGAATCTCAGTTGACAAGCCGAACTATTTTCTCTAATACTGGCGCAATATTATTATTAGTCTGGTGTGATTCACTTACGATTGTGGTCTTCTTTCTTCTGAAGATCCTATGTTTCTTTTGTCAAAGTGTACCCAGTCTGATTCAATTACTTTAGAATTTCTCTTTGACGGAATAAACTTTTTTTTTCTTATTTCTTTTTCCACTTTTAGTTTCACTCTAATATATATATATATACGAAACGTTAGGCCTATATCAGTCGTTAGGCCTATCACTTTTACGTTACTTAACTCTTCACCAACTACATTCTCTGCTTTTAACTGTCTGCTGCTTCCCGCTCTTCTCACGCTATTTATATCTTTATTATAAAGTCGTCTGCCACTTTCTATATTCTCGACACCAATTAGTTATTAACAAAACCATCTACAATCGTCTGCTTTTAACTCTTATTATAACAAAACTTAAAACTAATAAATATACTCACAAATATAAATTAATCACTATTATTTAAACCAAGCAGTCTTTTATATCATGACAATATTGATAGCTCCTGATTAAAGCTGTAATAACGAAATATTGAGCTAATAAAATACATTCTGGAGATATAGGTCGTAATATTACTTTTTTATGTGTCATTTCACTCCAGTTCTCCAATGGGTAAACTGGCGAGCATTCAAGAGGGTTAACCCCGCTCTTCGGTCAAGAGACGAAAATGATAACAAAGAAGGAATGAACGAGAAACATAAGTGATAGGTAAAGGTATTGAGGTCAAAGTGAGAGGTCAGGAGTGAGAAGGAAAGAAAATGTGAGAAAGACGAAACGGTAGGCTTAGGTATTACAAGATAAGCGAAGTGTGACGACAGAATGTTATGTATTTTGGAAACCAAGTTGATTTTATTGACGTATAGTGTTGTTGTACGGTTCAAACAGTGAATTCTATGGGTAGTAGTTCACTGGATAGATAGATAGATGGGGGTACATGAGACATCGTTATGATTGGGATCGTCAGGCAGAAGTGACATGACATAAAAGTTTAAAAGATGAACAGCAGGTGCTGAGACGTTCTATGAGGTATGCACGATGGTGCCAATGGTGCTTATTTCGAGAATGAAAACACTTGGGAACATAGAGTACGAAGCTGTCGCAGGTGGAACAGAATATGTGGAAATATAATAGTCTACAACTCTCGGGTGGGACTAGGAAATTTAATAATGAAAGTAAGTCAGAATGCATGATGTTCCAAAACCTGGAGACGATAATAAAAAGCTGGAGAAACAGAAAACCAAGCGGTGATGCAGTAAAAGAGGTGGATTTAAACCCCAATAGGTCTCTATGAGAGACTGGAGCAGATTGAGACGGCGAGAAACCTTGTCCGAGAGAGCAGACAGGTGTGCCTTCTGTGTAAGGTGATTATCAAATATGATATCAAGATACGTCATCAGGTGAAAAGCTGGATGGGTATATTGTCAGTACAGACATCAAACAAGGACGGGTCACAGCACGAGCGGAATTTTCGGCGTGTAGAACCAAAAAAATACCACGTGTTTTGGGTGAATTGAGGATGAGACGCTAGTCGACGACATCAAACTAAAAATCAATTAACAGTGGATTGTAGAACAGTGTTTCTCAGCCGGATTTACCAGACGATCCCCGCGTCCCGGCTTTGGTCGTCGAGACCCCCCTATTATCTCCACAAGGATGAAAAAAACATGGCAATTATACTTATTTCAATAAAATGTAGAATCAGCGTAGACAGTTCGCGACCTCTTTGGGTTACTTGTTTGTTTGTTAATTTGTTATGAATTTCGCGCAAAGCTACACCAGGGCTATCTACGCTATCTGTCCCTAATTTAGCAGTGTAAGACTAGAGAGAAGGCAGCTAGTCATCACCACCCACTGCCAACTCTTGGGCTACTCTTTTACCAACCAATAGTGCTATTGACCGTCACATTATAACGTCCCTACGATTGAAAGAGCGAGCATGTTTGGTGTGACGGGGATTCAAACCAGCGACCCTCAGATTGCGAGTCAATCGCCCTAACCACCTGGCCATGCAGGGCCTAATGTGGGGGGAAAATCTGCAGTTAACGTGATTTTTGTCACAAATTTCAGGCCTGTTGGTTTCTAATGTTTTATGAGCTTTCGGTGTTTACAGCCATTATTTTTTCAAATAAACATAATAACAAGCTAAATTTGCTCTTTCAATCTTCGAATATTGAAAGAAAAAAACCCTGTTTCAATTAACGAAGAATATTAAAAAAACTTCTAAAAGCTATTTCTTTCCTTTCTCTATCTCACTACATAAAACTGATTATGATTGACAAGGTGGGTGGGTGTACAAGTAGCTTAACTACTTCCTTTGTTAACGCCAAATTTGTATTAACATGGTCATCCGGTTTATTTATAAATGGAATTTCAGAACTAGGAACACAAGTGGAACAAATTCCAGTAATTCTGTTTTCAGAACATTTTCTGGTATGAACATTCGGATGAATAGTAACGTATGTAAAGGGGGGGGGGGGAAGATAAAAAAATATCATTGTTTAGTAACTGTAGCACTAATAACTAATGTTTCGTTTTTAATAACACCACAGTCCCTTACAACCACATATTTTATCCAAACATTTGAAAGTACTTGACCCATTCTCCAGAACTTGATGGACATTAACTCCCTCAAAAAGAAAAAAAAATGCATGTAAGGGAACGTTTCAAAATGCCCCCAGTGGCTCAGAAGTAAGTCTGGGGGCTTGCACTGCTAAAAACTGGGTTTCAATACCCGTGGTAGGCACAGCTCAGATAGCCCGTTGTGTAGCTTTGCGCTTAACAACAAACATATCCCATAACGCCTCAAATGAAAAATATCTTTCTCAGCCTTGCTCTCGTGGCTTTAATGTATTACACATAAGCAAAAAGAACGTTTCAAATGTTCAGAGACCTGGAGTGCTATAGCACCCCCACTTTTACAAACTTGACAACTGTAAATTATATTAATTTTCTGGGAAGGGCGTGCTCCCACCCTCTAGTTTGAGCTGATTTTAGTAGCTCCTTATACAATCAGTCTCTCATTGTAAAATCTGCATGTCTAGCCAAGCACCCCCACTTTTACAAATTTGACAAATATGGCAACTGTAAATTATATTAATTTTCTGGGAAGGGCATGCTCCACCCCCCCTAGTTTGAGCTGACTTTGGCAGCGCGGGAGCTGATTTTAGTAGCTCCTTATACAATCAATCTCTCATTGTAAAATCTGCATGTCCAGCCAAGCACTCCCACTTTATAAGTCCTTGCTACACCATTGACGTTGACTTAATATTTGTGGTTTTTACATTATAGTTTTTGAATTAAAAGACCATTAAGTAATCAACTTAGTGCGTGCTAACTTACTTTCTACCACAAAGTCCCATAATCGTGGGACCAGTAAATGTAATGACTTAATCAACTGTACGTACTTTAACACAAAATATACAAATTGATTATTCATGTATGCGATCTTTCTTACCTTAGAGTTACTTGATGTATTGCTGCGTTATTTATTTATTTTTTGTTTACGAGCGATATTTTCATTTAAACAGATCAAATACACTGGATCAAGTATGAATTCAGCTCGATCATTTGGACCTGCTGTCATAGCCGACGTCTGGCTACATCACTGGGTAAGTCTTCACACTATACGTTCTGGTTAACCCTAAGATTACCGATTTGTTTTTATATCGTCAATATATTGCACCCTGTTGTACAACTTTATGTTTTTGTCAGTAAATTTGGATAAGTCACTCATCTTCTTTGTATACTACACAGGAAACTGGAGCAGTTAATACTGAGAGTAATTGCAATATTGATAGTATTTCTGCTGTATCTCAAATGTTATTAGGATCCTGTAACTGAATAAAACATGGGTTCATAAACAACTTATTACACAAATCTGTTTAAAAAGCCGATGTATGATAATTTTAGACTTAATACATTAATACTTAATTTGTTTTCAAATCCCTTTTTTTCAATGTGGATTTAAACAGCGTAATCAACCGTTTTTTAAATGAATTTCTGTCTAATGAAAGAATCATCATGGAGTCCGAAAAAGCGTTTGAAACTCAATGGGAGATAAAGGTACAAAGTCCATAAAAAAGAACTTTACACTGAGGTTAACATTGACAGCACTACTGGGCTAGTTTCTTAAATTAATGTGGACGCTGAACAGCTTTAAGGACTGTTAAAGTGAAAATAAGCTTGAGTATATATATATAACAGGCACTACCCCCCTCCCCGCCAAAAAACAAATCAAACAAGAACAGCAAGAGATCCTTTCAAAACACATCCCATGATGCCCCAAATGAACAATACCTTTCTCATCCTTGGGCTTTAAAGTTTTATATAAAAAACAACTTCTACTCTCAAACGAGTGTAGTTGGCTGTTTTACGAAAACATTCTAAGGCCTAGCATAGGCTGGACGTGCAACCTGCGGGCTTGAATCCCGTCACCGGCTTTACTCACCCTTTCGTTCGTGGGGGCGTTATAATGTAACGATTAATCCCACTTTTCCTTGGTAAAGAGTAGCCTAAGAGTTGGCAGTGGGTGGTGTTGACTAGTTGCCTTCCCTCTAGTCCATCACTAGCGCAGTTAGCTCTCGAGTAGCTTTATGCGAAATTCAGAAACTAACTAACTACTAGTGTTCTCTGTCGCCAAATGTTAGAAGGCACCAATCTGATATTAATCAAAGGTTTCAAAACGTGCAATGCCCTTCGAAAGTCTTGTTTCAAAGATTGGAGAACGTGATAAAAGATTCGGTTAATTTTAAGTCAGATACTGCAAGTCTTTCATTAGTCATTTATTTCAGTGATGTTTTATTTCGGTTTAGTTGTTGTTAGAAACCCGATATTAAGCGTCGTAAGCCTTGCCACTGGGAAGGGTTTAATGTTATAAACTAGACGATCTCTGTGTTCGATTTTCAATGATGTGAAGGTATAATTGGCTCTATGCGTTTCTCACGGCTCTAATATAAGATTGTAAAAAGCTGTGGAAGTAAAAGGTAAGTAAATGTGATCTTCAGTTTTAGATTGTTATTTCTATAGCGTGTTTTATCTTTATCCAGGTGTACTGGATAGGGCCTGTTCTTGGAGGCGTTGTGGCAGGGCTCTTGTACGAGCACGTTTTTGCTGCTTCAGCGCCACCTAATGACGAACTTGACAACTTGGAAATAGCAGAACTCAGATAATAAGAAGTCAGAAGTGAAAGGCAATTTCTTCATTTAAAAACAATATGTTTTTATTATTTTCTCAAGAAATAAAGTGTTTCTATAATCTAACATATTTTATATTCATATACGTTTTTCTGCTATGGATAGTTAAAAAAAACAGTATTTTATTTCTCTATTGTTCATGAAATAAACATTTATGACTATTTTGCAAGAATAATTTATTGTTATTGTTTTTCAGGATCACCACTTGACATTCTGAAATTCTTAACATTTGGGACACAGCAGTGGTCAGAACACTATTTATATAAACCAATTTTATTTTCCTTGTGAGTCTAACATGCGTGCGTTTTTGTGCGTGTACAACTTTAGCAATCAGTAGTAAAGATTTTAGTGTTGTTTGAACTGAATCTTTACTGTTTAAGGTGATTTTTGCCCGAACGTTCTATTAGGGTTTTGTGCAATTCCTTGCGATTCCTATTATGTGGGCCTGGCATGGCCAGGTGGTTAGGGTGATCGACTCGCAATCTGAGGGCCGCAGGATCGAATCCCCGTCCTATCAAATATGCTCGCCCTTTCAGCAGTTGGGGTGTTATAATGTGACGGTCAATCCCACTATTAGTTGGCAAAAGAGTAGCCCAAGAGATGGCGGTGGGTGGTGATGACTAGCTTCCTTCCTTCTAGTCTTTCACTGTTAAATTAAGGACGAATAGTCCTCGTGTAGCTTAACGTGCGAAATTCAAAAACAAACAAAGAAACCCTATTACCAACCAATATTGTGGTTCCGGATAAGCCATTTGATAGAACAACAATTGTTACGATGTGAACGCTTTTTATAAGCTGGCTAATCACATTTATAATTATACTTGTAGCTAGAATTTATTACAATGCATCAGTTATTATGATATATTAACTAATGTACCTAGGAAGACATAGGGGTCTCCGGGGGGGGCTGAGATCAAAACGTCAACCAACTTACGTTACTCCTCTGGGATCCCTAAAGGTACATTCTAGGTTTGATTACAGATGATCCAGCGGACACACACACACACACGCATACTTTCATTAAATAATGATTTAGATAACGTCTTACGCTAGCGATGCGTGACTTATTGATGGATAATTATTTTAACATTACATCACAACAAGACTGACAATATTAACTGGAAACTAAATGGGCTTGGGGTTACGATGTCTGTACGACTTGTAAAGTGATTCTTTATTACTAGAAAGTAAACAATGTTGTCACGCGAAAACAAAACATAAAACACTAACGTAACTAGCATGTAAGTGATGGCTTTGTTACTTCCCTGGGATGACCTAGAAAAACGAATGTTTTATAAATTTTTACTTCCGTTATATAATATAATTTATTAAAAGTATATATCCTTAGCATTCTGAGAGGTACTACATTGTAAACTTTGATGAAAACTTATACATAATTCTGGTTTCCATGTTGTTTCTTGGGCCTTCTTACAATTTTCCTGATTGATGATGCGTCTGTTCGCTAATGGGTTAGTTGCTATGGCTGATTTCCTGATTGATGATACGTCTGTACGCTAATGGGTCAGTTGTTATGGCTGATTTCCTGATTGATGATACGTCTGTACGCTAATGGGTCAGTTGTTATGGCTGATTTCCTGATTGATGATACGTCTGTACGCTAATGGGTTAGTTGCTATGGCTGATTTCCTGATTGGATGATACGTCTGTACGCTAATTGGTTAGTTGCTATGACTGATTTCCTGATTCATGATGCGTCTGTTCGCTAATGGGTTAGTTGCTATGGCTGATTTCCTGATTCATGATGCGTCTGTTCGCTAATGGGTTAGTTGCTATGGCTGATTTCCTGATTCATGATGCGTCTGTTCGCTAATGGGTTAGTTGCTATGGCTGATGCAAACTTTTTACCCTTACTTTACCTTCCCGCCCTCCCCGATGGGCACAGCACACATGCGCTTTACAACAAACAAACCTTAAGCTATTAAGGATGGTGCGAACTTTTTGTTCTACAGAAATATGAATATATATGTATATATATAATTATATATTTGTCACACTAGTCACATTGCAAGCACGACTTTACTAAAGTAACCACTCATTCATTCAAGTAATGTAATATAAAACAAAACTTAAAAAACGGGGGGAGGATCACTTTCTATAGAACGGCAATGATGTTCCTAAAGTAACTGATAAGTACTTTTATTAAAAACGAAACTATTATTCGAAAACAAAAACCATTAGTAGCTCACATCTGGTGATGATTAATCCAGAGAATCGTAAACTTTATCTACTAATTGTTCCTCCCATGGCTTAGGGGTAAGTTTAAGGGCTTGTAACACTAAAATTCAGGGTACGGTAAGCACAACACAGATAGCCCATTAAGCACTGATCGATATTTTTTCCAGAGCCTGTAATATTGTGTTTTCATAGATGATTACCTACGTGCTAGTGTGGGAGAATTGTCTTACATCAGCTTTAACTAACGTCACCCACATCTTAGGGCACGTGTGCCGAGAAACGTTTATAATAACAGGGAATTAAGTTTCAACTTAATAACTAGCATACTTCCTTTTTATTTAGACTCGCTCTGTTAATGAACATAAATATGGTGCGACAGGGGGCGTCGTTAATTAAAATGTTACCTCGCTCTTTTCTTCGCAGCTATTGCCCCTAATTCTTTGCATATATGAAACAATATTACACACTTGTTTGTTGGTTTCAGATTCTTCGCACAAAGCTAATCAAAGGTCTATCTGCACATTATCGTTTCTAATTCTGAATTAAGACTAGAGTGAGGGTAGTTAATCAACAGCACCCACCGCCAAATCTTGGGCTACTCCTGTGTGATGGAATAGTAAGACTTGACCATTACTCTTATAACGTAAACACAGCTCCAATGTCCGTGACAAGTTTTTGTGGCAATTGGCCACAAACCATGAATCCTTGGATTCACAGTCTGGGCATGCTAACCACTGGGCCACGCCCTGTCGTTATATAAAGCTAAAATATTTGGAACTTATATGTTCCCTCAATATATTAATATAGAGTGAACCATAAATAAGAATAAGTTTACTAAAGGATTTTTCAGCTCACTTATTTCTTATTACAATTTATCCTTATTCTTCATCCTTGTTTGTTTCTAGAACCTGTTGATGGTTGCTTCATCCTTGTTTGTTTCTATAACCTGTTGATGGTTGCTTCATCCTTGTTTGTTTCTAGAACTTGTTGATGGTTGCTTTATCCTTGTTTGTTTCTAGAACCTGTTGATGGTTGCATTTGCTGATTGCTGAAACACCTCGTAGACTTACCAAAGAGTAAAGGTTTTTGTACTGAAGGCGTGGTGGGGGGAAAAGGTGATACTATGTGGAAATTAGGAAGGGAAACACTTTGAACACTTGCTTTAAGAAAAGAAAGCTTGTTTATTCCCATTGGAGTAGATGTAACGACAAACCACTATGGGTTATAAAACCTTGGTTCATTAATTGGATTATAAACCCTTGGTTCATTAATTTGGTTATAAACCCTTGGTTTATTAATTTGGTTATAAACCCTTGGTTCATTAATTTGGTTATAAGCCCTTGGTTCATTAATTTGGTTATACACCCTTGGTTCATGTAATGGATTATAAAGCCTTGGCTCATTAATTTGGTTATAAGCCCTTGGTTCATTAATTTGGTTATACACCCTTGGTTCATGTAATGGATTATAAAGCCTTGGCTCATTAATTTGGTTATAAACCCTTGGTTCATTAACTGGGTTATAATCCTTTGGTTCATTAACTGGGTTATAATCCCTTGGTTCATTAATTGGGTTAAACTTGCTTGTGGTCCACCCTGTATTTTATGTCCAACAAGAGAAAATCCTCAATAGCCACGACTGTAATTAGATCTCAAATCAGTCAAGAGATGACGGAGCTATGAGCTAAAAGTTTGTACTTGAAAAAAACTCAACAAAAAACACAAACTCGGAGCCGCTCATCAGCGGCTATAAAGATAGTCATTAGTTGCTCGTAAGGGTTTCCATATGTTAAAGTAACTCTTTGATCAGATAATATTAAAATTACTCTTTGTTCATATAAAAATACCAATTTTAGGCATTTCAAGTTCTACGTGCTAATATTCGTAGATTTAAACACAAGTTTCATGCATTTCAAGTTCTACGTGTTAGTATTCGTAGATTTAAACACAAGTTTCATGCATTTCAAGTTCTACGTGTTAGTATTCGTAGATTTAAACACAAGTTTCATGCATTTCAAGTTCTACGTGCTAGTATTCGTAGATTTAAACACTAGTTTCATGCATTTCAAGTTCTACGTGTTAATATTCGTAGATTTAAACACTAGTTTCATGCATTTCAAGTTCTACGTGTTAGTATTCGTAGATTTAAACACCAGTTTCATGCATTTCAAGTTCTACGTGTTAGTATTCGTAGACTTAGATTCCAGAAGATGCTCGATGTTGTTGGTATAAATATCATATATTTACACCTTTCTACTCGCTCAACCTTTGTCTCGCCGATTGAATGATTTTAATAATTATGTACAAATAGTTTAATCTACCTTTGCTCGGTGAATATGCTGGTGATGATACTCAGAGTCTAACTCTGGTTCCGAGAAGTAACTTAATTCCTGATCACAGCTGCTGTTGAACCCTTCCTCGCCATTAACACTTTGCTCGTTTATACGAAGCACCGACCGGTCTCGAATGTCCCTTGTTAATTAGAAAACATAAAAAATATTATCTGACCAAAGAGTTACGTTAACATTATCTGATCAAAGAGTTACGTTAACATTATATGAACAAAGAGTTATTTTAACATTATCTGACCAAAGAGTTACGTTAACATTATATGAACAAAGAGTTATTTTAACATTATCTGACCAAAGAGTTACTTTAACATTATCTGATCAAAGAGTTACGTTAACAAGTTTCATGCATTTCAAGTTCTACGTGTTAGTATTCGTAGATTTCAAGTTTCATGCATTTCAAGTTCTACGTGCTAATATTCGTAGATTTAAACACTGACCTAGATTTGTAGACGTGACTCCTGTAATATCCGGGATCATCATACCAGGGGGGGTTGTAGTCACCAAATGATTTTTGAGGCTCGATTCGTCTTCCTGAAGATGTTGGATAGCTTGGTGGAATTTCACGATCAGGAGAGGAGTCATAAGCGGACTCATAGCCTCTTTCACAGACAGGAATGTAATGACTGTGTCCATGTGGATAATAAGGATAACCATGTACTACAGGGTAGCCACCTTGAGACTCATAACGAGGTTCTGTAAGATAACAACAGGTTAACAGTTATGTTGACGATATCGATAGTCATGCACTACAGAGAAGCCACCTTGAGACTCATAACGAGGTTCTGTAAGATAAGATGTCGTTAACATTTATGTGGACGATATCGATAGTCATGCACTACAGAGTAACCACCTTGAGACTCATAACGAGGTTCTGTAAGATAAGATGACGTTAACATTTATGTGGAAGATATCGATAGTCATGCACTACAGAGAAGCCACCTTGAGACTCATAACGAGGTTCTGTAAGATAAGATGTCGTTAACATTTATGTGGACGATATCGATAGTCATGCACTACAGGGTAGCCACCTTGAGACTCATAACGAGGTTCTGTAAGATAACAACAGGTTAACATTTATGTGGACGATATCGATAGTCATGCACTACAGAGTAGCCACCTTGAGGTTTATAACGAGATTTTGAGGATCAGATAAATTTAATATTTATATAATCGTTAAGGATAGTCATGTGCCACAGAGTAGCCACTTTGAGATTCATATCGAGGTTCTGGAAGATAACAACAGGTCAGCATTTATGTGAACGATATCGATAGTCATGCACTACAGGGTAGCCACCTTGAGGTTTATAACGAGATTTTGAGGATAAGATAAACTTAACATTTATGTAATCGTTAAAGATAGTCATGCGCCACAGAGTAGCCACTTTGAGATTCATAACGAGGTTCTGTAAGATAAGATAACGTTAGCATTTAAAGATGGAAACATTGCACTGACTTTAGAGCTTAATGTATGCACGTTGGTTCTGTTTATTATTGTACATTCTGCGAATTTATAAAATGCTGAGATGTTACGTTATCTTGTGTTAGATTTTATACAAAGCATTTTATATTACAAAACAAAGATATACAAGGTTTGTCATTTCCTAAAAAAACACACATTAGTCTTTATCAGTTTGTTTGTTTGCTACATGATGGCTATCTGCACTAGCAGTCCCTAATTTAGCAGAAGACTGGAGGGAAGGCAGCTAGTCATCACTAACTCTTGGGCTACTATTTTATCAACGAATAGTGGGATATAACGCCCCCACAGCTGAAAGGGCGAGCATGTTTGGTGTGATGGGGATTCGAACCCGCGACCCACACACATTGCGAGTCGAGCGCCCTAACCACCCGGCCATGCCGGGCCAGTCTTTATCAGAACTTTTAGTTTTCATTCGCGGATTCTTTTTTTTTGGATCATCAGTTAACAAAGCTTTCATTTCATTGATTCCTTTAAAGCAATTCATGATTATATTAAATATCAAATTTTTCGTGCCTTATTAGAAATATCATTAATGCTAGTTTTTCATAGTCTTTTTGCTTTTACTCTAAGGTATAAAATTCACTGCGAAGCAGTACAGTCTCATTTTTTTTCATTACAATCTTGATACAAGAAGTTTGGAATTATTTTGACCGTCATGACGCTTATCCTCAAGCAAGTATTCACTAACCTAGGATTGTTTGTCTAATGAGGTTCGCGAAAAGGTACTCGAGACCGGTTTGTGCTAGCTGTCCCTAATTTGGAAGTCATAAACTAAAGGGAAGACAGCTAGTCAACACCACTAGCCTCCAGCTCTTGGACTAATCAAATAGTGGGATTTGACTGTAATTCTTATAACGCATTCACGGCTGTAACGAGCCGCGCACCACGGAACCTCAGATGCACAGCCCGAAACTCTAACCAATGGTACTAGAATGGAAAACTATCGTTTTGGGTTTGAGGATTCTACATTTATTGTTCTTGGATTATTGTATTGAGAAGATAACGTTTTAACTCATAATATGTTAATTAAATCACCAAGGATAGTTCAATGCTTTCTTACCAATAACTGGAATAGCATGACTTCTCTTTCTCCACTCAGATGGCGCTGGAGAATAAGAACTCAATGGGGGACATTGGTTCACTTCGGTTGGCATTATAGGTGTCGATGGAAAAGGACTCCCTCTGCCATAAGCTGCTGAACTTATCGGAAGACGCAAGCATTGCTGAAATAAAGTGGCCAATTGAAAGATACACGAACTTTTTTTTTTCTATTTGGAAAAACTGCACACATACAAAATATATGATCCAAAACGTGTATGTTACAGTGATTTATAATTCAACCTTTTCTTCATAAACCAGTTGTTGAAAAATCCTTTATACATAGGGTGTGTAGTAACTCAGAGAAAAGTTGTTTGATGAGGCAGCCGATTACCATGTGCTATTCAAACTTGTATCAGTTATATTTATGTTACTTCCAGTGTTTAGATGTTTCATTTTCCAACCTCGCAGTGGCCCAGTGACAAAAATTATAAAAAGTCCTAATGATATGAATGATGAATACCACCTTCCATAAAACCTAACACATTTTTTTTTAAATTTTATTCGTAACAACTCACCCATCTCTTGATTAGATATACTAGCCACGTGTCGTTTTCCAAGGTGCTTTATACTCTTCAGCGATACGTTTCTGGGACAAAAACCCAATGTATTTAGGCTTATCTCGGTTTCGAATGCTATTCTCTTCCTCTTACATAAATTAAATACTAGTTTCATGCATTTCAAGTTCTACGTGCTAATATTCGTAGATTTAAACAATCCTGTAATCATTTTGTTCTATACTCCGCATTTAACCATGTGTACTGTAATAAAATGTTCCCATATTCCACATTTAACCATGTGTACTGTAATAAAATGTTCCCATATTCCACACTTAACCATGTGTACTGTAATAAAATGTTCCCATATTCCACATTTAACCACGTGCACTGTAATAAAATGTTTCCGTAAGGAATATTGTTCAACGTTTTTACACGGACAAGTAGGTATATACATGCCTGGCTTCTTCATCAATTAATGGAGTGACACTGCGGAACATGTTTAATTGTGGAATAT